CAGCTAAATATTTTCCCCTTAAAGTAAGGGCATGATGCATACTTTATTATTATATACTTACAAGGTACAAAAAAATTAATGCAAGAGAGTTGCAATGATTACTTTTATAATTAATGAATTGAATTAATGTTTGAAAAAGTGAAGGAAACTATAAAAGACGAACATATTGATAGTTCATAAAAGTCAGTGAGATGGATGGACTTGGCATGTCACACAGTTCATCGAGTCTCGGAACCAAGTGTACCCTCGGATAAGATAGTAAAAGGTTTTCCTAATCCAAATGACATATGAATAGTAACACAATGACTCTAACATAAAAATAATATTTTTGAAAGGTTTCTTAGCCCTTGTTCTGCCACCCACATCATTGTTCAACCAACCACGTGTTTTTTTATTTTATTTCTTTGTCAACTTTACATTATTTTATCTGATTGAAAAGAATATGAAAAATAAGAAAAAAATTGTAGTGTCAGAAAAAAATTTCGATATTTTCTTAGCGCCAAGTTCAAACGTAAAAATAGATGTTTGAAGAAATAACAAAAAATATCTTAGAACTCTGGAAAAGGCTTGAAAAAATCTTAAAAGTTATTCTCAAAACACAAATTGTTGATAATTGTTTCAGATTTTTCGACTGCTAGGTTGTAGTTAAAAAATAAAACAATTTATTTCAGTTTTTCGCCATTAAACCACAATGATTTTAAAAATACTTTTAAAAGGACTGCAACAGTTCTGTGCATTTATTTTAATGTTTATTATACATTTGTATACGTTTTTGAAGCACCCACTAATTTTTGACTTTGGAATGTAGTAACAAATTACCATGTTTTTAAAGGTTTCTAATCCTTTGAATATCATACGCTAAGGATAGACGGAAATGAAGGGGATCAGGTTAGACACGGTTCTTATAAGAACTGTTTTACTGCGTGTTTGAACACCGGCCAAGGCACGAGCAAAATCTTAAAACTTTCTCTCAAAACACCTCTGGCAATTTTTGTCAGAAGTTTTCAATTTCTGGGCCATACTAAAAAACTAAGACATTTGTGTTCAAGTACTTGGCTATTGGGTAGAGCCGCGTCCTAAGTAGGAGGAAGGTCACAGAACGGCGGCTGAAACGTCGGGACCTGTCCCTTAGACGCGGTGTCTTCGGACAGCCAAGTAGTAACTGACTCCGGGCTCGGAAGCCTACGCTCTCACATCTGTAGTTGTTTCAGACAAGAGAAAAAGTTGTATTCCCTTTCCTAAGGATTTATTATTGTATTCTTATAAGTAAGTATATATAATACGGACACGTGCGAAAATTCAGCATATCGTAAATAATAATTTTATGAAAAGTAGAAAGTTGATTTAAAGTTGTATCAAACTGCGAAAGCCCATCCCCCGAAATGTGGTTTACAACATTATAGGCCCGGGTACTATGCGAGAGAAACTATTCCAATATTGGTGAGCGTTGAGACTAAATGCACAGACAATTAAACAAACCTTTTAATTTTATCGTGAAAGACAATTTCAGTATTTTCCTTCATCAATGTAAATACATTGACTTCAGCTTTGGCTCTTTTCTGTCCACTCAAGCTATGGAGTGGGGGCACCCAATATAACTCAATCTTCAAAATTGTAAAAGAAAAATTAAAAAGGATGTATTTTGTAGAATACTGTCTAACAACATCATCCGAGTCCAACCTGTCTCCCTTCATTTCTCCTCTGTCTTCCATCTATCCTCCACCTGCCTCCAAACTATCCCTTATAATTTCCCCATTAGTCATCCACCCGTCACCCCCTAAAAAGTCTTCTGTCAGAATTTATCTGTCCTCAAAAAAGTCGTGTACCTATGAGACACGTAAACCTAGTTTAAAAGGCCTAGGACGCATCGTTTCCAAGTTATTGGAAATTAAATGGATAATTGCATTTTTTAAAATTTTTATGCTTCATGTTCTACAAACTTTAATTTTTTCTTCTGAAATCTGTTAGATATAGGACTGTGGTGTAATTCTATATCCACAAATATCACGCAAGGTTTTTTGTCGATGGTTTCTCATAAACGGCCCTTTCCTTTCTTAGTGTAAGAGTGAACTTTGTGTGATCTTGTGTTATAGATTGCACACAAAGGACTCTTTAAATCTTTGAAAACATGATAATTAAACATATAACAAAGTCAAAATATTACTTGGTCCCTCAACAATGTATACAAATGTATAATAAACTCTAAAATAAATGCACAGAACAGTTGTAATCATTTTCAAAGTATTTTTAAACTCAAGGTGATTTAAAGGCGGGAAATGATACGAATGTTTTTTAACTACTTTTAACTTTTTGCTAATTTTTTTACTTTTTAACTAAGCCCTGCAGCCGAAAAAATTTGAAAGAAATTCAAAACAATTTGTGTTTTGAGAGGTACATTTGAGATGTTTTCGAGCCTGTTTCGAGGTTGTAAGACTGTAAAAAATACTTTTAAGCTGAGAAAATATCGAAAAATGTTTTTTTTCTGACAGTGCCAATTTTTTCCTTATTTTTAAATTCCGTTTTTCAAATAGATAACATAATGTGAAGTTGACGAAAAACAAATGAAATAAATAAACACCTGTTTGGCGGTAGAAGGATGTGCGTGGTGTGACGGACGTTGAAACCTTTCAAAAATATTATTTTTATATTAGAATTATAGTGTAATTTCTCATATATCATTTGGGTGAGGGGAACATTTTACCATTTAATGCGGGGTCAGCCGTTAGAAATGTCAGTACGCATCTCATTCTGGAAATTTATTCTTGATCTGTATTTTTCTAGATCACTGTCAATTTTAGCCGATCCGGTGGCCGAGATCGTTAAGGCAGTAGTGTCGTAGCGATCTCGGACCGAAGGATCGCGAGTTCGAGTCCCGCCTCGGGTTTGGTTGTATTGTGTTTCGTCCTTTCACCCCCTATCATCATCATTTTCGTGTCACCCCACAGTTACCATACCGTTACAAGCAATAGTGGTCGCTAATGACCTAGTGGTTGATGCGACCTTAAAGAAACAAACAAACAAACAAACTGTCATGGTTGAAAATCTTTTTTACATACGTATGAAGTGAGAAAAGGAAGCAGAACACGCGAGGCCTTCTTACAAAAACTTTGAATACTGATTCTTGACAGAGTACCAAAATTTGGAGTGTTGCAGGAATGAGTCTCGCCACTACAAAGCGAGCCGTATTCAATTGCGTCAACTGCCAGAGCTCTTTTAAAATAACTGATAGTTGACAATGTTGGTTTAATGGAAGCAATGCGATCGCATATTATACAAATGTTTTCACCCCACATTCGTTAAAATGTGAAAATTAATGAAGAACATACATAGTCAGAATTCAGGAAGAAATAATTAGAGCATTATTAAGCATTAGAACCATACTTAATTAAAATATATGCGAATGTCTCGTGCCTTCTCTCTGAAACTTTCGCGCCTCACTGGGAGACGCGTCTCTACAGTTTGAATATCCAGTATAAATCGCTGGAAATGTGAATATAAAAAGAAATGTGAGTGATATTTAAAAAAATACATTTGTGTAATTTTTGAAAAACTAAAAAATACAGCAAAATTGAATTATGTCATTTTAGCCAGTACAATTTCGTATGCAAAGTTTAAAGAAAAAAATTGGAGCCGTTTGGGGAAAATAGCGTTTGAGCGTTTCTGAAAATGCCGAATTTTGAGCTTGTCTTCACAGAAAACTTTTGAGTTTTAGAAAAAATTTATATGACATCATTTAAAGCACATTTATTCGCAAATGCAATGATATGAACAAATCGCCGCTAATGCAAATATTGTCGACTTGAGAGGCAAGTTAAAAAATTTAATCTTTGTAGTTTTTGAAAAAACAAAAGAAAACAATTGATCAATATGGCATTTACGGCATCTCATAGAGTATATTTGGCGCTATCTTTACCAAACATTTAAAGAAAATATTTGGATCCTGTTTAAAAAAAATGTTTCAATATTGCACTAGTTGCACTCAATATTGCGCGAAAACTACAAAAAAAAAACTTTCAAAAAAATGAACATGACCTTAATGAAAGAATTAATTATGGAAAACAAATTTTATTTGAAGGAAAAATTTCTTCCTTTAATGTTCTAGTTGTAGGAAGTTACTGAAAAAAATTAAAACATTTGCAATTATCAAAAAATTAGTTAACCTTGAAGATCGGACCTATGCCACCTTTGAAAGTGCATTTTACTCTATTGTTACGAAAAATGTAAAGAAAAAATAGGAGCCATTTTTGAGAAAATTTTGAAAACGTTTCAAGGACTCGATGGAACGTATCCCCAAAAATTAAAGAATGTTTTTGAAAATCGACGAGCTTCGTCTTAAGTCAAATCGACAGGGGCTTTGGAAAAATACTACGTATCGTTTAGGCGCTTGTGTTTTTCACATACATTGGGCCTTTTACCGTCAGTCTCTTTTTTATTATGAAGGATCTACAAAACATGTATTCTGGCAAACCACGGGTCAGATGATTTTGTTTCTAAATCTAGAAACTGGATTTATCTACTTTTTCGTTTTCTGAGTACGGCAAGAATTTTTTTACCGAAAAATCGCCGGTTTTTTGTGCAGCATTACATAACTTTCTCTCTATTGCGTAAGCGGTGACGAGAAAGTAAAACTATGTCATTGCAATGTGTTATTAGCTGTAAGGTAAAACTGAGTAATTTATCCTCTTGTCAACATTGCATCAACTGTCTGATTGTTTTCACTATACCTGAACTAATATAAACTTTCAAAATGTGAAAAACTTAAAATGTGACACATTAGTCACCATAGAAATTATCATATAGGCTTATGGAACAATAGAATACAAGGTCGAAATTTGGTTCATAGAATATTTAATTATTTTTCATTACAAAGCATGTTTGTTATGTTAAACAGATTTTGAATTTTAACAAAATCTAACGCTCTCAACTTCGTTCCGGGAGCAAAGGTCTGATGCTTCCTACTTTTCTCTGTCGCGCGCACTCCCTAGCTCGGCAGCACGCACCTAGTGAGCAGCAGGAGATCGGCGACGGTCTGCATGCGGTGTTGGCACAGGTCGCAGGTGAGGGCGAGGGCGCGGGCTTCGGCTGCACCGGCGGGGCACTGGAACACGTCCTCAGCGTCGGCGGGGTCCTCGCGGTCGGCAGCCCCCTGGCCGCCGCCGCCGCCCTCTGGCCCTCCCGCGCCCTGGCGTCCCAGCTCCGGAGCCATCACAGCTCCGCGCGCACGCAGTCACGCCACTGACTGCGGGGCCAACCGCCCGCCCACGCCCGTGCGCGCGTTCGCGACCGCGACGCGCTCTGGCCCCTCCGCGCCCCTCCACGCCAGCCACGCAACGCCTCCGGTCGCTCTCGCAGAACGCTGTGAACACCGGAGCGGAACTGAACTGCTTGACACCCAAGTCAGCCTTTATCGTCTTCGACTCTTTCTCTCTTCTCTCTTCTCTCGCATCTCCCTCCCCTCTTTTCTCCCCTCTCTCTCCCGCTCCTCCTTTCCTTTTCCCCCTCTCCACTCTCCCCCTCTCCCCTCTCCCTCTCTCTCCCCCTCCCCTCTCTCCCTCTCTCTCCCTCTCTCTTCCCTTCTCTCTTTCTCCCATCTCTCTCCCGCTCTCCCCCTCCCTTTCCCCCTCTCTCACTCTCCCCCTCTCCCCTCTCCTCTCTCTCCCTCTCTCTCCCCCTCTCTCTCCCCTCTCTCTCTCCCTCTCTCTCCCATTCTCCATCTCACCCTCCCTCTCTCTCCAATCTCATCTCTCTCTCTCTCTCTCTCTCCTCTCTCAGTTTATTGACCTCAACTTCCATTCAGACATTTTTTTTAAACCCAGAGAAAAAAGTTCGTCATGGAGAACTTAGAACCCAGTTTCCCCGTCAAAATCTAGGTTGAGACTCAATTTTAAGAAATAGACCAGCGCTTATCAAGCTTTCAAAATGAGTCTTAACCACCTCGTAGTGACTAGAGCATCAAATCTGTACCAAAACACTCTTTATTATGATATAATTCATACTACAAGTTAACTTGCAAATTGTGGATAAAATGCTACAAAGATGCATTAGCAATACAATTGATCCTTAATAATGAATAATAAAATGTACTCATGTATTAAAATTGATAATAAATATGAAAATACATTCACTGGAAATAGCTCTTCTTAATAATTTCGAAATTGTTGGAAATATGTTCCACATCTTTTAATAAAATTAAATTCACGATATAATTTTGACCTTTTTCTGAAGAACAGATGTTTATTTTGGACGTTAATGTATGTTGTAGTACAACGGAACTGCGTGCAACAAAACACCATTCAGTCCATTATAATTTATTTGTTAGGTTATTGGAACCTATCGGTCCTAACTTCTCCTTTCCCCTTTCGCATAGGTGTGCTCAGAGAGTGAATCGAGCGTCTCGTTGACAGGAGGAAATATTTAGCCAAACATGGCGACACCAAAATTTACTGAAAAAATTCTGTTAGGATAATTAAAACGCGGTCGCAGAAAACTAAGGAGATATATAGATAAGAAGATTTTAACAAAAATTAATTACAAAAAAATACAATTTCTATGTTTTGTATCTTTTAATTTTATGAACAAAGGTAAAAATTCGATCGAATGCTTTTTTATTTTTAGTTCAAATTTTGGAATATTTAAAAAAATATTGAATGGCTTGGTTTTTTGGTTTTCAATAAATTTTAAAAATTTACTTAACTTTAATGCAACTGTTCCAGCATGAAAATAATACTTATTAAATGCAAATAAAGTTATGTAATATATCATTTTCATGGTAAAAAATGAAAAAAAGAAGTGAGAATCTATTGGAATACACACTTTTGCTTGCACATGAACTTTCTACATACTAACAAGATAAAGTGGTAATAATTTCATTGTTCTACTTCTTGTAGATATTAAGTAATTCAAAATTCAGTACAATAAAACCGTTCAAATATTGACTTGCTGTTAAATGATAACCGCACATGTTTTAGTGACTAGGAACCACAGGGGATGGGAAATAATTGACAATGTCAGGGAAATAAATTAGTCTTAAGTTAAGGATAAAATTTTAGGGGCCGGAGAATTGACCCTTCTGCTTTTCTCCCCACTTTTTCCTCTCCTCCGCTCATTTACACTCTTGATGTGGCTTGAACATTCGAAGCACCCTTTGATTAGCTTTGCCGAGGGGCGGAACACTTCTCTCTGCAGAGTGGACGAAGCCTTGTGCATACTCGATAGAACTCTGACTGCGGAGTTCAGAGTTAGCTAACTGCAATTATTGAAGAAGAATGTAAGGATTGAACTGACGGAACCCACACTAATGTGCTTATTGACAGATAAGTCTAGCACATCGTGAATTTCGTTTCAAGTTACACTATACCAGAAAAAAAAGAACGCGTAATTTTAAAAAAACACGTGGTAATTACTGAAAACAGACTCGATTCTACATAATACGGAATAACTAGAAATAATTCGTACTCATGTCTTTGATGTTTTAGGTGTGGCTTGTGTTTTTCACAATACACTACATATTCTAAGACTCAACATTTCGAATCGTGGAGCTAAAATCTCCGTTGTAAATGTGTGGCTGCATCAGAACCTCATAAATACCCGATTGTACGAAATACCACAAATATATCTCATTTATTTAGTGGATTCAGTACTTAATTATATCAGTTTTTATCCTTCCTCAATAAATAATTCGAAACGACTTCACATGCCATGGACATAAACGTTTTCTCAAACTTTGCAGTAGACTGAAACTGGTATCAAAATACAGAGAATAAGAAATGAACGCTACTGTTACGACACTAATTTTTCGGATTGACGACGAAACGAAAACGTGCACGATAGCAATTTGTTGACTTGAATATTACAAGGGTAGACATGTTCCAAAACAACATCCTCCATTCTTTACGTCCCCCAAAATAAGCAGCGACAACAATTCACAATGTTGCAAGAGACAATGCGACTGAATATTTCTTTAATTTTTGCATAGAAGACTATCATTTACAAGTGAGATGCTTCCACATGCCGCTACTAGGCTTTGGTCTATAAGTCTCTGCCGTTGTACTAATTCCCAGTGCGGCTCGTATCAGGCGAAGCCCGGCCGCAGCGCAACCTCCGACGCACCCCCCCGGGCCACGACGCTCTTCCGGAAGCGCCGAAATGCCAATGACCAGAGCGGCGTAACAACCTCCCGGACGACAATAACGCCGCGGATGCTGCAGCCATTTTTTGCACTCGTGCTTTTTTTTATACGCGCGCGCATTGT